CAGCCTCAGAAGTAAGAGTGGCATTGTCACGATTCAGCACTCTTCTGGTGCTGTTGTGCCCTCGTTTTCGAGGGTCTGTGAAACTTTACCCTGAACCTGGAATGCGCAGTTTGAGAGTTTGAGGTCATCGAGAAATTGAAGCGTCGGAAAGGTCAGGAGCTTGAGAGCTTGAGGCCCTGCGAGTTTGAAAGTTTGACGCTTCGAACTTTGATGTTCGACGATGCCCGAGCACGCTTTGCTTTGAACATTTCGGAGAAGGCAGCCTAAACGCTAAACCCTAAACCCTAAACCCTAAACGACTCGGCTTGTGGGGAATGTAAAAGGCAGCTTTGGGCAACTCAGCTTGCCCCGAGAAACCCTTGGACAGCCCCTTGACAACCCTAATCCCGACTAAACCCTATAGTTTAGGGTTTAGGGTTTAGGGTTTCGGGTTTCGGGTAACCCTGAAGCAGACACGCTAAACCCGGGGGAACGTACCTAGGAACACCCCACCTGAAGGAAGCTTCAGTCTACCGACCAAACACGCTCAAGCACAGCAAACTCTCAGACTCAAGGGTTTAGGGTTTAGAGTTTAGGGATGTTCAGCTCAAAGTCTCAACCTTTCAGAAACTCTCGAACTCCAAACGGTCAAGCTCGTCCTCGGAAACGCAATCTCCAAACTCGGACGAACTCGAAACCTTCAATTTGTGATCTGTTTCAAAGTCGGGATGCGCGAAAGTTTAAACGTTTAGAGATTGAGTTTGAGAAGAGACGCTCGAGCTCGGATGCTTGAGCTTTCGAAGGGATGAACTTTGAAGGGTTTTATACTTTGAAAGCCTTGGAGTTCGAAAGCGCTTCAAGCTTCAAACTCCAAATGTTCGAACTTTCGAACTCCGTAATCCCTCAACATTCGAGCCCGAAAGCCTTGGAATACGTCACCCGTGACGCCCTTGTATATCTATGGTATTGAAGCTTGAGGTCTCCAAGGTACAGGAGTAATCAGCCCACAAGTATGTCCTGAACACCTCGAGATATCAGACCCAGTCCATCCTCGCAAGTATGCGCGCAGATGCTTGCTGTGTGTGGTGAGCCTGCACGGGTGCTGTAGGGGGCTTAAGAATTAGAATAGGCTTTGTGGTGGGGTTATTCTAGTCGAATTCTAAAGGGACCCCTAAGGGAATACTACTAGGAAATAGTCCGACCCCTAGAGCATATTGCTCAACCCCTCATTCTAAGCTTGACAACATCTTTCCAAGGTAGGCCTTGCCCGTGCACGCCCACAAGCACAGAAGATTGGTGGACCTTAGGGTTTAGGGTTTCGGGCTCTTGGGCTGTGGACGTGGTTGCTGGATGTTGCTGGGATCGCATGGGGACCTCACATGACCTCGTGTCCTGCGACCTCCGCCAGCAGTATCAATCTGGGGGAACACTCCTACCAAACGGTGTGAAACAACCATCTGCCAGTTCCGGGGGTTGCAGTTTGCGCCAAGGGTACAGTATCATGCGGAGGTTTCAGGGAGCTACCCTAAACCCTAAACCCTCAACCCTCAACCCTAACCTAAACCCTAGAAGTGGGAGGTTTTCAAGGCGGTGATCAATCCTGCACCTTGCCCGCTGCGTGGCCCTCAAGTTCGGAGGATGCAGAAGGCAACAGCTCCGAGTTATATCGGAGTACTGGGCTTAGGGTTTAGGTCTTAGGGTTTAGGGTATTAGGGGCAAATGTGTGACGTGAACAAGAAGTACCGCATGGTCGACGGCTTCTCACATTGATGCTCCTCTGCCACGTGGTGAGTCTTCGCGGACGGGGAGCAGAGTGGGGTGGGGGGAGGAGGTGGGGGTGTAGCGCAACATAGGCCAGGGGCAAGACTGGAGTTTGCAAGGTATAAATGAACTTAAAGCCCTGCGCCCTTGCAGTCAAGCTAGTGGGTGCAATGGTTGCGACACAGCTGCTGCCTCCACCTGTGCAGCGAAGGACATCAAGCTGAGGTCCTGGGCAACAAGGGTTTTACATCCCCGCTGCTCACCGCTCCCATCGCGCCTCCCGCCCCGCACCCGGTGTGAAGCTATATATATATTTATATTTATATATATGCTATTCTTGACCCCTGCCAGACCGTTACGCGATAAGCAACGCTGGGTGACCATCATCGCGCTTGTGTCAACCTTGTCACCTAAGAAGCAGCTTCACTGCCCAATCTTCATGATGCGTTCTGCTGCTTCTTTGACTGCGCCCTGCATTACTCACACCCGCATTTTGCACATGGCCTCGTGCGGCTCTCCGACTTATATTTGAAGTCAGAAATGAAGAGTCGGCACTGGGGTAGAAGAGAAAGGGAGACAACGCGGGCAGCGGGCAGAATGCGGAGGGGCAAATGCAGCCCCTACTGTTGGCCGCCCTTCGGGAGGGTCTCCTGTATCGGTCTCGAAGAAAGTTACAGAGCAACAGCAAACCATGGCAACCCATCACGTGTGAGAATAGACCGATGCCGCCGGCCCATCCCGATGTAGAATGTACTGCATGAAGGTGCTTAGGTGAGTCGGCCCTGGTCCTCAGCTCGCGTGGGCACGTGCAAGGCCACCAAGCCTCGCAGTGCGAGAGGCTTGCGGGCTTAGCTTCAGCTTCCGAATTCTCTCCTAGAAGCTTCTCATGATCAACGGTCCGAAGCCTCCAGTCTCTGTCTTGATCAAATCCCAGCACCCACTACATCGCTGCAGCTACTGGAACCCCGCAACCTTGAAAATCCCGTGAAGATTCGCGAAGCAGAGCGAGGCCCTGCCATCTGCTTTGGCGAGCTAGCAAGCCTGTGAGAAGTCATTGTGAATGGCGCATCATGCACACATCATCCCACAACACATCAACACATCCCTCGTCACCAAGGCCTTCCAACAGCTGCTCTTCGTTGGCCAAGCGCCGTCCTAAGCTCATGGACAGTATAGGCTGGGGTCGGAGGCAAAGATGTCAACAGGTGTAGGTTCCAGCGGCAATCCCACACACATCCAAAACTTCAACACAAGGGTCTCTCCCAAAAACTCGATGACACTCGGCTATTCTGCTCGACATGTTTTGCTTTCAACTTGTGTCTCACCTTGAAGCCCGAGCGCCTGCTGGTGGGCGCCGCTGTATGAGAAGCACCGTGTGGCTTGCCATGTGCTCTCGACGCTTTCCGGGCGGGGAGGGGATGGAGACGCTGGAGAGTCCCCGGAGAGACCTGATCCTTGGCTCTGACACATGGTCAAACAGCCTAGGATCGTCCGGGTTCGAAGGGCTCAGTGGGGCAGAGGTAAGAATCACTCAATTACCAGTATAGAGCCCAAAAGCCCCTTAGTTCCCAACCCTCAGTAAGCACCCCTGAGACCACCTTCAACGGTTTTTCAAGATGTTCGGGCTGGGCGTTTGCAATCACAGCCCTGGGGATCCCTATACTGATCTGGAAGAATATAGACGCCCAGCCGCACTGTGGACGGCAGTTGCTGCAGTCCCTGGGGATGCTGCATCAATGCGCTTGCAAGAATTTCGGTCGCAAGCCCTTTTTGCTGCCACCTGCTTGCAATCCCTGCCTGAACCCTAAACCCTGAACCCTAAACCCCGGTCGCGTGCTAAAGAAGAGATACAAGTCTCAAGGATCGCCCGGTGCCTGTTACAAGCCAACATATTATGGGGGTCTACGAAATTAGGGGTACCCTATTGGGGCCCTTAATTATCAGGGAATACTACTATGTTGGGGGTCTCTCTCACTGGGACGGGGGCACTCCCAGGGATACTTTGTGGGATTCTCTGCCGGATTCTCTAGCTAGGGTGGGGCGGGTACTCCGGGGGTGTTTTGCGGGGACACTCTGCGGAATTCCCTTCAATCCAGAGGCTGCTAGACGAGAATGAGAATGACGAGACAACATCTATAAAGCCAGGGCACGGGGTGGGGGCCGATCAGAGTGCGTGCCAGCCGGGGTGGGTGCAAATCCTCCTCAGCTCTACAGTTTCGTGAGGCCAGCATGGCAAAGAGGAATCTGCCTGTCTGAGCTGCTGGGAACCCACAATACAGTACCGCCTGCTCTTGCACTGCATGCCGCCCAGCACAACAAGCAGAAAACAACAATTGCAGAAGTCACGGCTGTCTTCCCACCACCTTGCCCTCGCAAGCGCTTTTTGCAGAATGATGTCCCAAACTTGTCCAGTAAACACGTGGCCCCCCGAATTGCCCCCCGTCCGAATGCGTCTTTTCTCTGTGACGTTGACAGTAGCGTTCGTGTTGCATCCCTGAAGGCGATGCATAGTCGGCATTGTCATGAAAACACACAAAAAAGTGAGGCAATATGAAGATGTTTCATACGGTAGTTGACCTATAGAAGCCTCCTGCCGACCCTAACATACCCCAAGTGAGTCCCCCAGCAACCTCCAAGATGTAACATACGCACGTTCGGCAACATACGACGGGCTTGCCGTTTCCGGGCTAGGGGTAGCTGTACAGCGCCTTAACTCGCTGTCCCATTTTTGCCCAACTTAGGAATTTCATGTACGGCTCAAGAGCCCCTAAACCCTAAACCCTAAACCCTAAACCCTAAACCCTAAACCCTAAACCCGTTTCTTTTCGACAGTGACCATAGATTTGGAGGCTGCAGATGGATGCAGCTGAAGCGTCGGAGGGCAGCACCCAGCTTTCCCAGTTGACCAAGTTGAAGTGAATGTGCGGGAAGAGGACGGGTCCTCCGCCTGGGTCCGGGGGGGGGGGTGGGCGCTCAAGATGGAGATGGGACATTGAGGTTACTGGGAAGGCCTTGCCTGTCTGTTGAGACTGGGTAGTTCAGCTGTGAAAACCTCGCAGACTCGGCTTGGTATATAGTGGCTCTGTAGCCGTGCTCATGCCCTCGCATACCCTAAACCCTAAACCCTAAACCCTAAGCCCTAAACCCTAAACCCTAAACCCTCCGACTCAACGAGGCAACCTGGGAATTCAACCGCCACACCCCGCCAAGCTGAACTCCCTCACATTGAAGCCAGACTGATGCGCCACAAAAAACAACCAAAGAAGCCCACAGCATGCACACTCTCCTCATCCCCAACAGCTAAACCCTACCCTAAACCCTAAACCCTAAACCCTAAACCCGAAACCCTAAACCCCAAACCCTATACCCTAAACAGCTTTCAGAAAGGCCCCCACACTCACCAGTAAGACAAAGGCCGTGCCGCCGAGTGCAAACAGCAGCTCACGCCTCGGCGTTGGCCCGCAAGATTGGCTCCCGTGGTCGGTTTAGGGTTTAGGGTTTAGGGTTTAGGGTTTGGGGTTTAGGGTTTAGGTTTAGGGTTTAGGGTTTAGGGTTGCATGATGCTGATGCCTGTATTTCTATACGACTAGATGCTTTGGGGTGTCTGCTTCTTGTTGGCAAGAAAGTGAACATCAATCCGCAGGCTAATCCAGGGCTTGATTGATGACTCGCAGGCCGCGTCGCGCGTGGAGGAAGCGGATGCCCGGAAATGCCAGGCGAGCCTGGCGAGGTCTGCCGTTGGAGCGGGATTTAGCAAGAACATGAGAAACCTGAAAGGCGCTTGGCTTCAAACTGTGCTGCATTTAGACAGAGACAGAGACAGCGACAGAGAGACAGCGACAGAGACAAAGACAGAGAGAGAGAGAGAGAGAGACAGAGAGAGAGAGACAAAGGGAGAGAGCGAGCTCAGCTGTCGAGCTCTCGCATGGCATCCACAACAACTTCTTCCCTGATCTTTTCGAACGGGAACCTTAAACGTCCCCAACTACCCACATCTTCAGACCTCTCCTCCTTTTGTTCTTGTTCTTACGCTTCTTCGTTGTCATCCTACTGCCCTCTAAACCCTACACCCTAAACCCCAAGCCCTCCCAAGCCTAAACCCCAAACCCTACCCAAACCCTAAACCCCAAACCCTAAACCCCAAACCCTAAACCCCAGACCCTAAACCCCAAACCCCAAAACCCTCAACCCTAAACCCCAAACCCTAAACCCTAAACCCCAAACCCCAAACCCCAAAACCCCAAACCCGAAAACCCCCTCCGGCCAGCTCGGAGGCCCAGGGCCCCGGGATGCGAAAGCGGCCGTCAGAGCCAAGGAGGTGCGGCCTTCGGCCCAGAGCTTCAGAAGGGTTTAGGATTCAGGGTTTAGGGTTTGGGGTTTAGGGTTTAGAGTTTGGGGTTTAGGGTTTAGGGTTTGGGGTTAGGGTTTCGGGTTTAGGGTTTGGGGTTTAGGGCTTGGGGCTTAGGGTTTAGGTTTAGGGTTTGGGGTTTCGGGCTTGGGGTTTAGGGTTTAGAGTTCAGGGTTTAGGCTTTAGGGCCTAGGGTTTAGGGCCTAGGGTTTAGGGGCATTTTTGATCTTCGACTCTTGATGATGATCCACTACTTGCAAAGGGAATGGAGGCATGCGACTCAAGTTCAACACAACATCAGTGCACTGGGACACACGCGTTGAAAAACCTGCAGCCGCATCGACAACGGACATAAGATGTGAACCCGAGAGCAGGAAGCCGGATTAGGCTTAACTGGAGGCTGGTATCCCACAGTATCTGCTTCCTTTCAAGAAGGGCAAATAATCATGGCTCCTCGCTCTCGGCACCCCCGAATCCCAAGCTACTTTCTTGAAGCATCCCCATGCAACCCTCACGCCAGCATCACTCCCCAAGATTGACCTCAAACCTTGAGTACCGCAGGACCATACCCTCTTCCAGGAATGCACAGAAGCCCCGACATCTCACTGCGGAGCCCTTTTCCGAGACTGCCTTCCCGGATGAAGATCGAAAACCTCAAACAGGATTCGTGACTCCATGGTTCATTTGGCTGTTACCATCTGAAGTTCACTTTTGCAGTCCAGGCCAAGAACTGAGAAAGGGCATCCCTTCAACAATACCCCGAGATCGGATGAAGCCACCAAAAGCCCAGCTCCCATACCCTAAACCCTAATAACCCTAACAACCCTTAGAACCAACAACCCTAAAAACCCTAGCAACCCCAATAACCCTAACAACCGAAATAACCCTAAGAACCCTAATCACCCTTAGAACCAAGAACCCTATAATAACCCTCAACCCCAAACAGTGCTGAGACCCTCAACCCTAAATCCTAAACCCTACACCCCAAACCCTAAACCCCAAAAAGTGCTGCGAGGAGGCATACAGGAGCACGGTGCCCAGGCCAGGCTGCAGGGCTTGTGGCGCATGGGCGAGGCAGTGGAGCCAAAGACCTGATGCTCCCAAAAGCGTCTGCCCAGGTTTCAAGGGTGTGGGCTTTAGGGCTGTTGGGTTTATGCTAGGGCTAATCGGGTTTAGGGTAGAAGGGTTTAGGGTTATAGGGTTTAGGGATACGAACATTCGGGGGGGGAGGCTTCGACTCGATTCGGGCCCCCCCCCACCCCCGCGTAGGTTGGACTCGCGATGGCTTGTAGATCTGCCAAGCCACGGCTAATGAAGGAGACCAGCAAGTGGAAGATGTTGTCCTCAGTTGGCTCGGACCCCTTCAGGCTACAGGCGAACAAGCCGCCACATCTCCAAATCTTGGCCCACATGCAACGACATACTGTACTTAGCCAACGCGGTCGTTGGCTTTGGGGTGCCCCGCTCTAAGAAGGTGCCGCCGGAAGCTTTGTTTCAAATCAAAAGCGAGCGACATGAAGGCAAAAAGGACACCACATCGCATTCATGTTGCGCACACCCAAGCATACCAAACGCCGCGCGCAGTAGAAGCTTCCTGAAGGACCTTACTGTAACTTGTAGCGTCGGCACACTCTTTGGAAATATGGCAAATTTGGTGGCTCTGCTGTCACAGCAGCGACATTGAAGTTGATGCCAGTCCCAAGAGGTTTGAACTCACGTTCTCAGTCCCGAACCAAGAGTCAAATCACATCAGGACCTGTGAAGGTGATGGGGGAGCGAACACAAAGACAAAGAAGTGAACCGATTTGTCAATCTCTTAATTCAACTTTTTTATGCGGTCAAAGGGACAACTTGTAAGACGTACAACTTCATCGGCATTCCCTCGTTTATTTGAAAGATTTGGTCATTCTAAAGTAGTGAACGAGAAGCATGAGATCGCGCCCAACATCCTATATTGCTACACAGCGCTAGCTCGCGAATTAAGAAGACGGAAGAAGTGAAGCATAAAGCTCATTGCGATCCGATGATCATGAGAAGGTGCATCCTGAAACCAGTAACAACAACTCAGGGATCCTCAGCCTTCAGCCTTCAGTGGTCCAACGGAAATTAAACTGAAGTTAAACCTGTCTTGAGGATTTCACAAAAAAAGCAAAAATCCAGCAAGCAAGCAAGCAAACTGCCTCCTGCAGATTCTTTGCATGCTGCTGAGCTGCAGTGTCTTGACCTGATCTGCGAATTAAAAACATTCGCTTTTGAATCTAAGTGGCATCCCGTGTTCAGGGCAGCTTCGACTTCACGATGACAAGAGCAAGTTGAGGGAAAGCCGTGCTCGGTTTGGCCGCGAGCTCTTGAACCTAGATTTTGGGGCTGGCAATGGCTGGCAGTTACATGCTTCAACTTCTGGAACCACGCATCATTAAAAGGGCCCCCCGCCCCCAGTCCCAACTACTCTTTGAAATGGCCGTTTAGAATGATGGCGTGTGTACGTAGCCAGATTGAATTTCTCTGCGAGGCGAGCTCAAGTCAACGGATGTTGAATCCCTAGTATCTAGCAACGGTCAGTAACATCCCCCAAAGATTCGACACGTGCTCAAGCTCATCAGACTATTCAGCCGGGCACTGAGTTACCACGGGTTACTACCAAGGCGCCGTTCCACAGCACCGGCGCGGATGCCACTGAAGCGACCGCTCGGAGCGAAGCAAAGTGCCCTGGAGGGACACGAAGCACGCGGAGCGGGTTGTGCCTGGTCCAAACGCGCCCTTAAGTTTGGAGGGCCTCTTGGATTTTGTTGCGGTTTAGGGCTCGGGGTTTAGGCTCTTGGGGTTTAGGGCAGGTTGTTGTCCAAGGCTTTGGATCTGAGCTTGGGGGGAGCCGGGGGGGGGGGGGGGGGGGCTGCTTCTTGCCATCGGTAATGTTCTGCGATGTTGGCTTTGACAGGAAAGATGAAGCTGCTGAAGTGCCATGGCAACCAAAGGAGACCATCATCTACGTGCTGGGGTTTCATGCTACAATCATATACAGCGAAAGACAAAACCACCTAGTGAAACGGTTGGAGGAGCAGCAGCATGCTAGACGGAGTCATGAAGTGAAGTATTGAATTAACGCCCAAGAAACTTCCTGGCACTCCCGCCACAGCCGAGGTGCCACCAAATTAGCTGCTCCCGCTCCTCGCTTACGTCGTCGACCTTGCAGTCGGACTGTTTCATTGAATCTCGGGGGTTTGATGGCTTGCGTGACCTGCAGATTGGGAGGACGAAGATATCACGGCAAACGACACAGCTCGAGAGACTGTAGAGCCCGGTGAAACATGGGAAAAACAACAAAGGCATGTGCTCTTCAGCCTACACACGGACAGAACATTCCCAACGGACTGAGCCCCAATTCGCTTCATCCAAAGGCGTCAAGTAAGAGACCCAAACGGCATCGAACATCATCGAGCCCCTCCTCCCAAAAGTCAAAACCCACCCTGTAGGCGGTAAGAACCCGAAGCCACTAGCCCTGAGCCCTACCTAAACTCTCATGATGTAAAACAATGGGCCTTTTTCTTCCTTTATTTTTATCTTTTTCCCGAAAGCATCGCGAAGGGTTCTTCCGTGCGGAGCCCTCTGACCCAACAACATAGAGTGAAGTACATAGAGTCAAGTGCATAGAGTTAAGTGCATAGAGTGAAGTGCATAGAGTGAAGTGCATAGAGGGAAGTGCATAGTGTGAAGTGCATAGAGTCAAGTGCATAGTGTGAAGTGCATAGAGTGAAGTGCATAGAGTCAAGTGCATAGAGTCAAGTGCATAGAGTGAAGTGCATAGAGTCAAGTGCATAGAGTGAAGTGCATAGAGTCAAGTGCATAGAGTCAAGTGCATAGAGTCAAGTGCATAGAGTGAAGTGCATAGAGTGAAGTGCATAGAGTGAAGTGCATAGAGTGAATTGAAGTGCATAGAGTGAATTGCATAGAGTGAAGTTGAAGTGAATAGAAAGTGCGAGATTTACGTAGAATTTAGAAGACCTTCGTACCCAGTCCTAGATTTCTAAATTAAAATTACTCTTTCTAATTAAAATTACTCTTTCTAAGGCGGCGGGCTGGGTTGACATCGCCAATCGGGATTGCAACCCTCTGCGGGTTTCGGCGTGGTCGCGGTGCTAAAACCGTCGTTTTTTTTACGTTTCTTTCTGTGCGCGGACAACCCTCTGCGGGTTTCATCGTGGTCGCGGTGCTAAAACCGTCGTGTTTTTACGTTTCTTGATTTGCGCGGACAACCCTCTGCGGCTGATCGCCGGGTCGCGGTGCTAAAACTGTCGTGTTTGGTACTTTTTTTCGCGCGCGCGGACACCCTCTGCGGGTTTCGGCGTTGGCGCGGTGCCAAAACCGTCGTGTTTTTGCGTTTCCTGACATACAAACGTAACCCCTCTGCGGGTTTCGGCATTGGCGCGGTGCCAAAACCGTCGTGTTTTTGCGTTTCTTGACATGCAAACGTAACCCCTCTGCGGGTTTTCGCGTGGTCGCGGTGCTAAAACCGTAGTGTTGTTGCGTGTTTTTTTCGACTTCTGTAGTACAGACGCAGTACGCCGGGGACTTCCGTGGCTGGAAAATCGAGTTTTGTCGTACAAATGTAGTACGCCACGGACGCCCCCGGAGCTTCCGTGGCTGGAAAGTCGATTTTTGTAGTACAAACGTAGTACGCCGCGGACACCCGGAGCTTCCGTGGCTGGAAAGTCGACTTTTGTAGTACAGACGTAGTACGCCGGGACACCCGGAGCTTCCGTGGCTGGAAAGTCGAGTTTTGTAGTACACACGGACGCCCCCGGAGCTTCCGTGGCTGGAAAGTCGACTTTTGTAGTACACACATAGTACGCCGCGGACACGTGGAGCTTCCGTGGCTGGAAAGTCGACTTTTTGTAGTAAAGACGTAGTACGCCGCGGACGCCCTGGGCGCATGAAAACACCGCAAATAGCATGGTAACGGACATCTGGGCGCTTGAAAACACCGCAAATAGCACGGTAACGGACATCTGGGTGCATGAAAACACCGCAAATAGCATGGTAACGGACATTTGGGCGCTTGAAAACACCGCAAATAACATGGTAACGGACTTCCGCGCGCGTGAAGACACGGGGATGTTTTTGTCCTTTCTCGTTGAAAACCTCGCAAATATCGTGGGACTCGAATTCCGGGAAAACCTCGCAAATATCGTGGGACTCGAACATCCCGGAATTCGAAACCCTCGCAAGTATCGTGGGACTCGAATTCCGGGATGTCGAAACCATCGCAAATATCGTGGGACTCGAATTCCTCGAAAACCTCGCAAATAGCGTGGGACTCGAATTCCGGGATGTCGAAACCCAACCTCGCAAGAAAACCTCGCAAATATCGTGGGACTCAAATTCCGGGGCGTCGAAAACCTGGGATATTTCGTGGGATTGGAATGTGAATGCCATGCAGCGGACCGGGAAAAAAGTGATCTCGTTTTGGAGGGAAGGCGCGTGCCGCGACCAGCCACTGGAGCTCGGCGTTGTCTTCAATGCCGATGAAAAGTGTACAGAGTTGACCACAAGTGCATGGCATTCAACTCCACACACTTGAATGCCATGCAGTTCCATACACGTCCACTGGACAAGTGCAGTGTACAAGTTGACTATGCAACCATGTAAGTGCATACATTTGTCCAAGTGCATGCAGTTCGAGTGCAAAGAATCAACTGCATGGAGTAACGCACGGCAAATCGATGCTTTCGGGCCATCCCTCTTCTAGTTTCTTTTTTTGGGGGGGGGGGGGGACGGGGGGGCGCTATGCCCAGACCCCAGATCGTAGGATTTCCTTGTATAAAAAGGACCCCCAATAAGGTACGCTTCATTTCGGAAACCTCCCATGTATGTAACCCTAATAAACCCTAAACTCGAAACCCTAAGCCCTAAGCCCTAAACCCTAAACCCTAAATGCCAAACAGTGCTGACGCGCCTCGGGGCCCTCCTGGAGGAAGCAGCGCCCGGGCTCGCAGCGGCGCAGGGCGGCTGCTAGGCCTCTCGAGGTCGAGCATACGGCGCCTATGGTGACAGAGGCTACAGAACGGGCTTCACAGCCATGGCCGGGTGTGCCGGGCTAAAGGGAGTTCCGTTTGCGAAGCCTTCGTCAGCTACACCGCATTTTTCCTAAACCCTAAACCCGAAACCCTGAACCCTAAACACCAAAAAAGCGACGTTTGTGATCTCGTGATGTCGTCAGTGCAACTTTGGCCCGCATCTCGCCTTGAAACCTTTCAGGGTTAGGGCTTAGGGCTTCGGGCTCAAGGTCTCGGGAACAAGGTGGTGGCCAACTTCAGGGAAGCTCAGTGACATCTGCTGCACCCCCAAACCCTAAACACTAAACCCCAAACCTTAACCCTAAACCCACCTGGTTCCAGGCGGTCGTAAGCCCTGC